AAACATTAAAGGAAAAGACAGCAGAATAAGACATTATATTCTATGGTAGTCTTGTGTTATCGCTACAAAGAATAAGGAATTATAGTAAAAATAAAAGTATATTACTAAAATATAAATAGCACTGAATGCCAATCTCATTGTTCTGAGCAATGGGCTGCTTTGTTTTTATTATTGACCCTCACTTTTATTAAGAACAATATTTTGCAATTCCTTCAGCAAAAACATACAGGACACACACACAGATGTCATAAATAAAGCCCATATAAACCCATGCTAATTTATTTAATGTGAAACTCCAACACAAATTACTTAGCAGTGAAATTGCACCTCCTCTTATTGTGTATGTGAAATAAAGGCGAACAGATGTGCTCTTCCAGACCAAGCTATTGCTACAATTAAACCAACAGTCATTTTACAAACCAGCGAGCTATTTCATGTGCCTCTACAGTGCTAATCATCTTTTCTCCACCAGCCCAGCCCAACAGAAGAGCGAGTTATTTATAGAGTTATCTATCTTGCACTTTGCAGATGATGCCTAACATTATGACAACAGTGAAAAGGTCTCCGTACCTGCCTACCTAAAACAAGTTTCTGTAAAGTAATGAATAGAGACAGCTTGGGGACTATCCACCTGCACTGCCTGCCTTTTACTGCCTGCAAAGTGAAACCACGAGGGACTGGCAGAAGGTACTTGTCTGACAGGGCCAGGACAGCCTTTCTCCTCAGTGACAGCCTGGGCCTCGCCTCTTAAACCTGACCCACCATAATTCCTTCACAATGCAGCAGCGAGGCAGCTGACAGTAGCAGCTGCACCTCCTAAGCGAGATGGATGGAATTTTCATAACTAGTTCCCCAAGTTACATTTTACCTTCAAGATAATTTATGAGCTGCTGTGGAGCCTTGAAGAGACAATATGCTTGCCATAAAATTAACTGTAACAGTCTTGTAGGTTATAATTAACACTGGGAGGGTAGCACCAACTGGATGAAACACATGGCATAATTGATGGTGAAACTGGAAATTAAGGAAGCTAACAATATCATTACTGTGCACATCACTTTAGTGAAACCTATGCTTTCCAGGGGTTAATTACAATCCCCTTCCAACGTACACACTCTGACGGGGAGTGGATGAGTGTCACAGCTAGGAGGAGGCAGGTTTGCTGGCAAGGCCACCTTGCACCTGGACTGATGTATATATTGTGTTTTTTTTGCCTGGAAGAGATATACATGTCAAAGCAGCAGCAGCAGCACCTGAACATCTGGCAGCAGGCACACCATAGCTTAGAGATAGATGATTGCTCAAGCCTCATAGAATATTTCATTTTCGCTGCAGCCAGCAGACTTAATGGCAAAGAAGAAAAAATCCTCTCTGAGATTTCACTTAATGACACACATTATTAATTTAAATTACTTGAGCAAAGAAAAACATTTTAACTTTATATTGCTGTAATTTAGCAGCAAATTAGGATTTTTTTTTCATCAGTGTATTATCATCTTGCTTTATTACATTAGTCTTTAGAAACATGCAGAGCAATCTTCTTAGAATCTCACCTTTCAAGGGATTACTGAAGATGCAATGCTAGTGAACTAGTTAATCACAAAGAGTATTATAAACTGCTGCCATCTTTGGGAAGGTGAACACGCAATTCATGTACCTGTTTAAGACTCCACTCTCTAGCCAAGGCCTAAAGAATCATTAGTGGAATGTATTTTTTTGAATCCCTCAAATTATTTCAATGAAACTTTTTTTTGTCCCTGGACAACATATGTGAAAATGTACAGATAAATGATGCAACAGTGTCACCTACAGGCAAGCAAAACAGTCAAAAACCTCCTCCAATATTGCATCCTCTTACCTCTCAAATCCTTCTCCTCCTCTGCTTTCCCCTCCTCCAGCCTCCCCTTCAATCCCTAATAATACACACCTGGATTTGGAGCTTATCCATATCCCCAAGTAGAAAAAGAAGGGCAAATACCTCAAGTGCTTTCAGGACAGTCTAATATAAAATACTTAGATCTTTTATGCAGTGCACTATGCCTTACAATAAACATGCTGTGCAGCCAGCAAATCATCTACACTGGAGTGGGCACTTGGATTGCTTCACCTCTCCTGAGCACTTGCTCAAATTCATGTTGGCTAAGTGGTCAAAAATAACTCTGGTAAAAATATTTTTTATATCTCAGGAAGACCAAATGCTCACATTATTAAATATGTGAAAATAAAAATGAGAAAATGTTGGCTTGCCTAAAAACAACTGGCAAAAGTTTTGGATAAGTACTGTCCAAACTTGTACAAAAAAACATCCTCCTTCATAATTCGGCACTAAATGTAACTCCATCCTATCATGCGCATAACTGATAGATCCATTCAGCTTACCCTTGCAGAAAAAGTAGAACACCCTCTTATTGGTAGCTCTGAGAATTCTCAGAACTCTCATTTTCCAACAGAATCCTCTTTTCTCCCAGTATTACTGCTCTCACTTTAACACTCAATATACATTTCTTGGCTTCTCCCATAAACTGCATTTTGAGACCCTGTTTCTCAATCTTTTTGATACTGTTCAAGATACCTTATTTCAATTATTTCTTATGTACTTGCATAGTTATTATACCTGCATATCTCTGAAAGAGTTCTCAGTTGGCCAAGTTACTCAAGCAAGTTATAATGGGATTTTCTTCTATTAGTACGTATGCTCTAAGCACTGTTCCCATTGGGGGCTGCTGTCATTTACCAAAATAAAATACTATGATAGCAATTTATGCTCTGTAATAGGTCCCCCTTCTTAAGCTTAAGAAATTCCAACTTCCCTTTTTGGCTATATTAAAACATCAGCATACTTTATAATTTCATAATTCCACAACAATGATATATTAAGTATTGAAAATTAATAGAAAATGAATGGAACAAATACTAGTAGCCAAGTCAAACTCTTCAAATGCCCAAAAGATCTCATTAGTAGTGAAAATAAGCAAGTAAATCACATCCTATTCTCTGGTTCATCTTAGTTTCTCAGATTAGTTGATACATCTCCAAGCCATTCTTTGACCTCCTTGTGGACTCCTCTCACCAATCCTGCTCAGATTTCCCAGGAATTTGCCCTCTCTCCCAGCACATGATTATCTGCATGTGCTGCCATAACTTTAATACAAGCAAACTGAGAGGGATGCAACAGACTGATCCTCTTTTTTCACCCTCGGTAATCCATGACATTCCTTGGCTTACCACCACCTCACCACCACAGCCTAGACTGCTCAGAGCATTGACAGCACCTTGCTCAGTTTCAACATCCATTNCACTTGATTCAGGTATTTATACTTTTGCTGGCACAGCTTTACTAAAAGTCTTATGAGGTATAATCTCTACTTGATATAATTGTCCTGGCAAAAGCTGGTAGGTGTGGACACAGTTTTATACCACTAAAACTGAATTTTTACTGGCACAGTTTCCTTAGCTCCAGGGAGGTCTGGCATATGTTATACTGTCAAAAGTACAATTTTTGGGAGCACAAGCCTTATCCACACATACAGCAGTTTGCCAGCACAGAAAGCTGGTGTGCTCTGGGTGAGCCCAGACTCAGCAGAGACTTTAAACACCCCTTAACACAGGAGGCAAATTCATTTCTTGGTTGCAACGTCCAACTCTGAATCTCACTATCTTCTCTTGTAGTGGTAATACAGCCTGGGTACCTTTTCACCATAATGATTTTCTGCTTTTTGTGGCGATGCTGGACACCAGTTCAGTTAAAATAGCAATTTACCAAATCAAAATTCTCTATCTCATTCAGGAGCGCCCTGTATCATCCCACACAGAATTGTTCTTTTTATAGCACATTACTACAAAACATCATAAACAGCTACATTTCTTACGGTTTTCTGGGTTTGTGCTTGAAGATCCCACTTGATGCTGCAATACCCAATATCACACAATCTAAATCTTGTTTCTCAGGGAAGCAAACAACCCAAATGACGATCTTACTTACTTAGGACCATCAGCTCTTTAGGCAATACACTGGGACACCTGATCTCAGAATAGAATTCACAACATGCAGAAACAAAGCAATGATTAGGAACTGAATTCTGAATTCTAGGGAGCCCAGGAGGTATAGATTCACATCAGAAATCTCTCTCAGCAGTATTCACTTGCCATGAGGCAAAATGGTAAGAAAGTCTTGGCATCTGTGTTAGAATGCTCCTACAGAACTCCTCATCTGAAAAAAATGGTCAAAAAAGGAGCCACTGCACAAAGGAATCTCCAGCATCTCCTGCCCCTCTGTGTTACTGGACAGAGAATTTCCAGCTCTGTTTTGAAGATGTCCAGCAGGCTCACCCCAAGCTGGCTTCTCATTAGGATACCCAGATAATACCCCAAGCTGGCTTCTCATTAGGATACCCAGATAATGCAGTCTGCCTTGTCACAGGTGTGAGCTACACCTTGGGTTGCCCAAACCTGCCAGGCCAGAGACAGTTCTAGGCACTCATGGCAGCTGAAATTCAGTGTCCAAACACGGGCAGAGTTGGGCCTGCTCAGCCCCAAGAAGAGATGGCTGAGAAGGGACATTACTGATGTCTGTCAGTGTCTGCAGGAGGTGTCAGAGGATGGACCAGGCTCTGCTCCTGGTGCCCAGCAATGGGACAAGAGGAAGGGGCAGGAAGGATGCCCAGGAAGTTCCACCTGGACATGAGCAAGGACTTTGCTGTGGGCACTGAACAGACTGGCCAGAGGATGTGGAGTCTCCCTCACTGGGGATATTCCAGAGCTGTCTGGACACAACCCAGTGCTCTGTGCTCAATGATGGCCCTGCCTGAGCAGGGACCAGCTCTGAGTTGGACCAGATGAACCAGAGGGACAAGTAGTCCCTTCAAACCTGACCCATTCTGTCATTCTGTGAAACACAGACATCTCTGGGCTGTAGGGTCAATGGGAATTAGAGTGGAGGAGGAGGAAACTAAAGCTGGTGTTCTGGACTTCAGACCTTAAAAAACTCATGCTTCTGTAAA